CAGCCTCCCAAAGGCGCGGGATTACAGGCTGAGCCACCAAGCCTGGCTTGTCTCTTAAGAAAAAAAAAATTTGTTCAGACGCCATGGCTCAGCCTGTAATCGCAGCACTTTGGGAGGCTGAGGCAAGAGGACTGCCTGAGCCCGGGGATTCAAGACCAGCCTGTGCCACTTGGGGAGACCTTGTCTCTACAATAAATCAAAAAAACAAGCCAGGCGTGGTAGCACATGATTGTTGCTTGTAGTTCCAGCTATTTGGATGGCTGAGGCTGAAGGATCGCCTGAGCCCAGCAAGTTGAGGCTGCAGTGGCCGTGAGTATGCCACTGCCCTCCAGCCTGGGTGACAGAGTGAGACTCCGACTCAAAAAAAAATTGGCATTTAAATACAAGGCAGATCAAAACGCTAGTAAGTTCATCACTTTCGCTTAGTGGTTTAAGTACGTGCAAAAGGTTGCAGATGCTGGTGCTGACTCTCAGGTTGTCTCCGCAGCTGGAGAAGAAGCAGGCCCTGCCCCCGTTCCAGCCGCAGATCACAGACGACTACGGGCTGGACAACTTCGACACGCAATTCACCAGCGAGCCCGTGCAGCTGACTCCCGATGACGAGTGAGTGCCACTGGCAGGGGCCCCGTGAGCCAGGGTCAGGACGCCTCATCCTGGGCTGGCCCCCGCCAAGCCGGGGCATCTTGGCAGCTTGCCACGGCAGCCCGCCACGACCAGGACCTCAGGTGGCGGGAGACCTGGCCCCACGCCAAGTTCCCCCGGAGCCCTGCGCTTCTTTGGGGGTCTGGGGAGGGACGGGGCGCTCGGAGGGAGCAGGCATGAGTCGTCTCGTGTCCTGCTCGTGCTCACAGGGACGTCATCAAGAGAATCGACCAGTCAGAATTCGAAGGCTTCGAGTACATCAACCCGTTGCTGCTGTCCACTGAGGAGTCCGTGTGAGGCTGCGTGCGTCTCGGCCATGGACACATGTGGCTGGCCCTTTAACTTTGTCCGTAACCACAGCATATGCATGCCAGGCTGGGCACGAGGCTCCGGCGGCCGGGGGCACGCTCGGCAGTAAGACCGTGGCGGGAGACGGCTGCGGCGCTTCCCAGAGCAGCACGGTCTCGTCTCGCGTGTGGGCTGGACAAGCCGGCTTCGCGCCGAGGAATCTGCTTCTTGGGCCTGCACCCCGGAGGACCCACATGTCTGTCCAGGGGGACTGTCACGCTCTTTGGAAGGTGCACATTTTCCGCAGAAACAGAACTCCATGCACTGACCTACTCTGCCAGGAGAGTTAGCGTGTAATGTCTGAGGAATAAAGTGTCCCGGTGATGTCGAGGCTTCCTTCTGATGCCTTTTTTCCGTGAGTGGCACCTGCCCTAGGCCCAGGCCCAGCACGCATGGGAGGAGCCGTGCTTAGTCTGGAGACGGGCTGGGGACGGGCGTTCAAGTGCCTATGGGGACACCGCCGCAAAGAGCCGTGACCCATGCGGAACGTGTGCTGCATCCTGGTAAGTTCCTGCTAGTGTCTAGCACAGTGTCCCTGAGCATGTACCAAGCCTACATCACCTGAGGAGGAAGTGGCCCCTTGGCCGGGAGGTGGCACTGGGTTGGGCCCGCTCTTGGACTGAGGAGATTGGATCTTAGAACATCTAAAGCGTGCCCCAAAGCACCAGTGGACCAAAAAGGAAAAAGAAATCGAAAACTAAGTCTGCACAAAAGATATTTCTGACACCACTGAGCAGTGCCTCCCGGTGTCTTGTGTTACTAAGTATTAGACTTCTGGAAAATATTTTTCTCAGTCATGCAACCCTCAGAGTTAGGAATTTTAAGATGAGCGTCTGACAGACCCAGCCTTAAAGTGAGCCAGTTCAGAAGGCACAAAGCACCCGCCTCGTCCCGAAAAGGTACGCCTCCCCACACCTGCCCCATTGCTCTATCACCCCCTCCCCCGGTGGAGGGGCATCTTAGCAGTTGAGCAGGTTTTCTAGCAAGAGGGCAGTGGTCGGGGCTTTAAGGCCCTTCACGTCAGGTGTGGCAGATCTGCCTCGAGCTCCTGGGGAGAGAGGATCACTGCGCCCGGCCCGAGCAGAGGGAAATCATCCCGCACTTCTTGGGTCCATGACAGCCAAGTCTCCTGCCAGGGCTGCTCACTCCTCCATGGCTGGCGGCTGGGGGAGATGAGCCTGTCACCAGCAGGCAGTGCCCGCCCCCAACACTCAGGTTTCTCAGGACGCCGTACACACAGGCTCACACGAGGCCCCAGGTGCTAGGACAGAACAGGCGCCCTGCAGACTCCTGGACATCCACCCTCCCCAGCTTGGGTTTCCGGGAGGGAGAACGGCATTCGCAGAGGGTGGCTGTTCCCCATGCCAGCCAGTGGGGCTTCACACCAGATACTGTAGCTAGGAACCACAGAGGCCGGGAGCTAACTTCCAGGTCTTGCAAGGGTGTCCCAGCTCAGGGTGGAGACCTCCAGGTGGATGGCCAGGCTGATCCAGGGCTGTGTGGGCAGACCTGCTGTGGGGTGGGAGGCCCCACTGTGTCCAGAAGGGGCTCACAAGCTGACTGCCTCAGTGAGCTGCACCCTCGTGCTGCCCGCAGGGGCCCCAACTTGTCAAAACTGAAGGCATTTATTTAAATACTGCCATGTTGCCAAATCCCTTACTGGTACTAGTTTGGTTGCTCTTGTACAAAATGTGTGAGTACCATATGTCCATGAGGGGGAGACTTTTATATACAGTAACTTGTTTTATTTATAAATTAAAGAAAGTGAAGGCACATTGGAATGTGGTTTGAAGAAAAGTCCTAACATTCGCGAGGGCACTGGTCACGAGTGTGTCTTTGTAATGGCTCACAAGAACAATGGTGAGCAGCGACTGCGGCATGTCTGCGTGGCTGCATCCCATGGGTGACATGCTCACCTTCACAGCCATGGCTGCACCTGTTCTCATACATCTATTAAAGACTTTAATGAGATGTTTATGTTATTATTTTCATTAAAAGTAGGTGTTTCCCAAGAAGCAAAGGTTTGTGCAGCCATTTTCCTAAACAGACTATTTAGAGCAGTTCTAGGTTCCCAGCAAACCTGCAAAGGCTAGGTACAGTCCCCCCACTTGTCCCCAACCCGCAGGCACAGCCAACCCGTCACCCATACCACCCTGCCACTGAGCACACAGGCACATCGTTGCCCAAGGGCTCGTGCTTGGTGCTGGGCATGTGGCAGGTGTGGACAGATGAGGACGTCATGTCCCGTGACAGTACCACAAAGGCACCCGCCCTGCACACAGAGAGCTCTGAGCCCCGCCCACTCACCCCCCTCCTCGTCTCTGGCACCCCTCCTTCACTGTCTGCAGTGCTGCCGTTCCCAGAACGCCCTCGAGTCTTGCACCTTTGCACACTGGCTGCTCGCAGTGACACGTGCTGAAGGTTCCTCCGTCTTTTCATGGCGTTCGAAGCCATGTCTGAAAGGATGTGTAGACTTCTGGGTGCAAACCCTGGGCTTTCCAGCATGCCTGCCAGTGCCCTCGGGCACACAGAGGCAGTCGGGCACCAAAGCCCGGCTCTTCTAGAGCTGCGGGCTGGATGGCACCAGGCAGAAAACTGCCCAGACGCTCCTATGCCCCATTGTTCCCTCACCCCATGAGCCAGAGCCACACACGGCTGCCCAGTTGTGTTGTGAACTGACCCACTGCCCTTGTTCTCCCTTGAATTCTCCCTTTCAAAACCGTCGGGCACAGACGTCTCAAAGCCCAAGTCAACCCCAGGAGCAAACCACCGGAGCCTGGGGATTTGGTGGTGCCTCCTGGCTTGAGAGACAGCGCCACACACGGCTCTGGGGAGGACGCTTCGGGGAACATGGATGCACCTCACTATGTCCTCATATGGCAGAAGGGGCCCGGATCCCACCCCAAGGCTCCTCGCAGGTCTCATCCCCCCCAAAGGCCCCACCTTCTGACACCATCACAGGGTCTCAACACCCAAGCCTCGGGACACAGGCCAGCAGCACACAGCGACAGCCGCATGACAGCAAATACTCTAGAACTGCAGGTGCACACAGTGTGAGGTCGCCAGGTGAAATGTGCGAGCTGAGACGTGGCGGTGAAATGTGAGCTAGCCATGCCCGTCCCAGAGCCAGTGTCCTCGCAGACGGAGAAAGGGTGTCCAGACCCACCTGGGACCCACCAGCTGATCTTCTGACTTTGCTACAGTGAATCTGCCCTGAAGCCAACGTCAGGAAAGAAGGAACCTGTTTCATCTCCACACCAGAAATGTGGCACAAGCCCCTCCCACCATCCACATGAACGGGCGCCCTTGGGAGCAAGAGGGCTTGTGGCGGGGTGGCACAGGGCTTGTGCCTCCAAGACGCCGCGCTCACCACACCATGTCTTCCGTGCTCTCGGCCAAGCACTGAGCCAGGTGGCCGTCGACATCCAGCTGGGTCAGCCTGCAAGGAGACACGGTCACTCAGTTACCCGGCCACTGCCGCAGTGAGCCAGCCACTGGAGGGAAGCCCCGGCCAGCCAGAAGTAAGGAACGGCCCTGCTGTCCTGAACACCCTGGGGCATTCTGGCATCCGCCTAGTGGTGGAACCTTCCCAAGAGCAGAGCCCAAGGGCCCATCTACAGGCAAAGGCACTGGCCAGATCCAGGACGGGCCCGTCCCCTGCCCCTGCCTGCCATGGAGCAAGGGACACATGACAAACCCATCAGTCGTTCCTAGCCCAGCATGCCACAGGGCAGCCATTCTTTGTGAAAACCATCACCTGCAACCCGGAAAGAACCAGGAAAGCCTGCTGGGAGAGGCTCTGAGGAGGGGGCCCCCCTCTCTCTCCAGGACTCCCTTGGGCCTGGAGGCCCTGCGAGACAAGTGTCCAATGCTTTGTCCAGCTCCTGGCCAGGCCCTCTGACAGCCAGGGGCCCCCTCACCCAGCCCCGCCCCATGCCTGGGCCCTGGGGTGTCCCACGCTGGATGTGAGGACATGATTCCTCTCCCCACCAGCCTGGTCCTGTCATGGCCACAGCCTGGGCATGAGCTCTGGCCCAAGTACCCACTCTCCTTCACAATCTAGTGGAGAACATGCTGGAAGCATTCCAGACATGGAGATGGGGCCGACTTCACGCCTACTATGGAGAAGCCACGGCCCTCGGCGAAGCCCTCGATAACTGCCTAGAAAGCTCCAAACAGAGCAACAGCTGCCTAAAGGCTCGGAACAGGACTGTGCTCCTCATTAATGCCCTGAAGACGCACAAGACCTAAAGACAAAAGGCTCCCGAAAGCATCTCTCCAGGGCCTCTGACAGCCTCTCTGGCCCTTGGCTCCTCGCGGAGCCTGAGAATCGAGACACTGCCCTGTTTTCATCAGAACTCGCACGCAAGCCTGAGCTTGCAATGACAATGGTCATGAGATGCCAGGGAGAAAGACTGCGCCGGACCCGCCCTGGCTGCGCTTCTGCAGGGGCTGGGCGCCCTGGGAGTGCGGGGGCACCGGCCCCACCCTGGCTGCACTGCCCCTCCTGCTAAGCCCACTCTCGAAGTGTGGCTTCACCTGGGGACCCCACCTGCTTCACCTGACCAGGCCACTACCCCGCCCCACCTGGGCATGACAGGGGTGATGACAGTACTGTGTGGTCACCCAACAGGCCCTCAGGCTTCCTCTGACAGAACGTCACATCTGGAGAAGCCTGTCAGGCTTCAGACCTGAGCGCCCCCCGCCGCGGGTGAGCACCATGCCACCCGGAGCTCCCTGCACAGCTGTGCTGAGCGTGTTGCTGACCGTGGCGTGGCTTTGCAGTTCAGCAGTGCTCTCAGCACGGACTTTGGGACTCCTTCCCTTCCCAGGCTGTGTTTGCTTCTGGAAGACCCAGTACACGCAACATAAGCCAAGTACCCAGTGTCCCGGCCTCTGGAAATCCGAAGCCCTATTGCCCATTAAATCAACCAGAGGTTAAGATCCGCCCAGTTCACTCACACCATCTTGACTGCAATACTCATGTTCTTGGCTGTGACCCCAGTCAAGGGTTCCCGGGTAGCCCACAGGACACAGGGCCATGCTGGGCAGATGGGGTTAACTTCTTAGCAAAACTAGGGTCCACTCTCCCCTACTTTAAAGAAAGCATAAAAATACATACTGGGTTTTAAAAATAAGAGAAAGCACCTCCTCGCAAAAAGACAAAACTTCATCTTTACAACCTCCGCCCAACCCTGGAAATAGGGAAGTGCAGGGACCCACAGCCTGGGTTGGCCCGGAGGCACCTCTGGGCGCGACTCCCGGCAGAGGCTGACGCCATCTGCCTGCCTCCGGCCCTCCTGCCGGTCTCGCCTCCCGCAGGCCCCGGGCGGAGAGCAGATGCGCCCCGGACCTGCCACCGGGAGACCTGGACAGCCGCAGGGCCACCGCGCCGGCTGCCTTTCCGTCCGTGGAACGCCTTCGAGTGCTTTCCGAGCAGGGGTCGCAAGGCCTGGGCCGCCGGGCGCTACTCACCCCAAGGGAAACTCCTCCTGGCACAGGGGGCAGCTCCGCAGGGC